CCTTCATGTAATTTGATGTACAGGCTTCAAGCTTCTTTCCAAGATGATGTTGATACTTCGTTTCCTATATTACTCTGCTAGGGCTGACATAACAAAATACCTAGAAATGTATTTTCTCTCTGTTCTGGAGGCCGGAAGTCCCAGATCAAGGTGCTGGCAGGTTTGCTTTCTTCTAAGGTCTCTCCCTTGGCTTGCAGATAGCTGCCTTCTCTCTGTGTCTTCATAAGGTCTTTTTTTCTTTGCATGTATGGGGATGAAGAGCTTTTATAAAGGTACGGAATCCTGTTGGATTAGGACTCCACCTTTATTTTTTATTTTAAGATATAAGAGTGTATATTCAGCATCCTTACATTCACTTCTAGGCATTACCCCATGTCAGCACATACAGGTACAGTGCATTCCTTTTAACAGTACCTTTGCTGAATTTGAAAACACATGTGTGCCAGGTGCTATTCCTAATACCAGCTCTAATTTGCTATCGTTATTTGTCAATTACAAATAAGGAAACTAAGGCCCAGAGAGATTAATATATTCAAGGTAACATAGCTAGGCAGTAGCAAAGCCACCACAATGTGTCCATCGTATGATGATTATAATTCACCAACCACCTAATGACAAATTTGGGGATGGTTCCAATTTGGGAGTTGTTATAAAATGTATTGCATAGAACATCCATTTTCACATCTTTGGGCTTTGGTGTGTTTCTGTAGAGGTAAGTAAGAATAGTAATACTGGGTCAAAGGATATACACATTGCTTATTTTATTAGATATCACCAATATGGCCTTCATAAGGATGGTTCAGTTCATTCTCCCATGATGCCCATCTTTTTTCTTTCTTTCCTTTTATAATTCTGCATTCTGGTAACATTTTTGCTTATTTTCCCATACACATGTTTGTTTCTTAGCTTATTTATTTTGAGAAAGGGAGAGAGTAAGAGTGGGCAAGGAACAGAGAGAGGGAGAGAGAGAGAGAAAGAGAATTCCCAAGCAGGCCCTGCACTGTCAGTGCAGAGGCTGATATGGGGCTTAAACTCAGGAACTGTGAAGTCATGACCTGAGCTGAAACCAAGAGCCTGACACTTAACCAACTGAGCCACCCTGGCACCCCTCATCTCCCTGTACGTTTTGTTTATATATTAAAAAAAATATTTTTTAATGTTTATTTTTGAGAAAGAGAGACATAGAGTGTGATGGGGGGGTGGGGGTGGGCAGAGAGAGACACACACAGAATTCAAAGCAGGCTCCAGGCTCCGAGCTGTCAACACAGAGCCCAGCGTGGGGCTTGAATTCACAAATGGTGAGATCATGACCCAAGCCGAAGTTGGACGCTTAACCGACTGAGCCACCCAGGCATTGCTTCCTTATACACTTTAATGGCAAATTGTCATAGTTTGTTTGTAATAGTTCCGAATAGTCTGTTTAAATCCTCTGCTAGATGTTGAACTACAGAAGTTGTTGGACAACATAAAGTAATGAGTATTCAAGCCAAAGAAGGTACCTGTGTGAGTAGGTGTACATTGCATTTGGACTGGGGCGGGGTGGGGTTGTACACACAGTAAATTAATCAGGTCACTAACTCCTCCTCAGAGGCAGCCACTACCCTGACTTCTGACACTTTAGATTAGCTCAGTATGTCTTTTGAACTTTGTATTCTTTGGCTTCTGCTTCTTTCCCTCAGTCTCCTGTGTGTGGGATTCGTCCCTGGTGTGACAACAGGTTGTTCATTCTCACTGTTGAATAGTATTTCAGCACAGGAATATTATCCATTCTGCTGTTAATGGGCATTTGGTTTGTTTCCAACTCTGGATTATTACAAATAATGCTGCATTGAGCACTGTTTTAAATGCCTTTTGGTGGGGGTGCCTGGGTGGTTAGTTTGGTTGAGTCTCCAACCTGGGCTCATGTCATGATCTCACAGTTCGTGGGTTCAAGCCCCGCATCAGGCTTTCTGCTGTCAGTGCAGAACCCACTTTGGATCTTCTGTCTCCCTCTCTTTCTGCCCGTCACCCATGTTGTCTCTGTCTCTCTCTCATAAATAAACAAACATTAAAAAAATAATAATAAATGCCTTTTGGTGGACACATGTATGCGTTTTCCTGGCAATGAACTTGTTTTGTCATAGGGTTGGCAAATATGCAACTTTATTAAATCTTGCCAAACAGTTTTCAAATTGGGTCTACCAGTTTTCACTCCCACAGTATGAGAGTCCCAAGCTGCTCCTTATTCTTCCCAGAACTTGGTATATTGTGTTTCTCATGTTAGCTATTCTGATGCGCATGCAGCACCTGTGTTGTATTTTGGTTTTAATATGCATTTCCCTGATGATTAATAAAGTTAGATATGTATTTTTCTTGGCAGTTTGGTACCTTTCAGCCATAGTATCTGTGACCAGGTTCTTTCTGTAAGAATGGAAGATGTTTTTGTTTGAAGCCAAAGGAGCATTGTCTATACATTCCCCCCTCCCCGAGTGAAGTTTTAAAGTAGACTCCGATATATGAACAGATTAAAAGGAGTATTTCCTTTTTTTTTTTTTTAATGTTTTATTTATTTTTGAGAGAGATAGAGACAGCATGAGCAGGGGAGGGTCAGAGAGAGAGGGAGATACAGAATCTGAAACAGGCTCCAGGCTCTGAGCTAGCTGTCAGCACAGAGCCCGACGTGGGGCTCGAACCCACAAACCGTGAGATCATGACCTGAGCCGAAGTCGGATGCTTAACCTACTGAGCCACTCAGACGCCCCAAAAAGGAGTATTTCTTGAGAGGCAGCATAGCATGGTAATTAAAAACAGATTCTGGGCCCAAACTCCTCCATTAGGAATCTTAGTTTTACCATTTACTAACTGTGTGACTTGGGACAAGTTGCTTAACCTCCATTTACTTCAGTTTTCTCGTCTCTAAAATGAATGTAGTAATACTTCATCATAAGGTTCATGTCAGGCTCAAATACGTTTGTGCATAGAAAGCACATAGGACAGTGCATGGTCCATAATCACTATAAAATGTTATCTTCTAGTAGTAGTGGTGGTGATGCTGATATAAATCTATTTTAGGAATTCATTCAAGTTAGCTGATGAGAATAATGAGGCTGTACTGTTTGTTGAGCACAAATTTAAAATTGAAGTTTAGGGATGATAGTTGAAGTTTTACTTCAGAATCAACCTCAAATTTTTAGTTTTGTTGCAGAATACCAAGAAAATCCTGATATACACAGATGAACAATTAAAAATAGATAAGGTTTAGGTCGCCTGGGTGGGTCAGTCGGTCAGTTGTCTGACTTTTGATTTCAGCTCAGGTCATGATCTTACAGTTCATGGGTTTGAGCCCCGTACTGGGTAAAGAGCTTGCTTGGGATTTTCTCTCTCCCTCTCTCTTTGTCCCTCCCTCACTTGCGCTCTCTCACTTTCTCTCTCAGAATAAGTAAAAACTTAAAAATAGATAAGGCTGACCCAGTAGTCTCAGGTTTAAGGTTTTAGATCAGTTTAATTGACAAGAAGTAGTAGAAAACATTTGTTTTGAGATTGTGACTAAATAGCTATAATTTGCTTGGATTTCCTGTGTTTAAATAAAAATCACAGAAGCAGCACGAAAAATTGTTACGGTTCTGATATCTATTGTGATATCACAGTACACTTGCATTACAAGTTTGCTTATTATTGCTTTCAGCCACAGAGCTACAGTTTTTCTGAATAATGACATTTCAAGATATCCAGACAAAGGTGGCAAGTAAAGCTATGCAAAGCGGAGACGAGGGTACTGGGCAGCACAGGTTACGCGTTGTTTGGTGTGCACTGTGTGAACACCAGGTGCAGGAAATACTCGCGTGTGTACGGTTCTGGTTTGTAGCAGTTACTGGGACAGCCATCTGCCTCGGTCACAGGCCGTGGCTTACGAGCAACCTCGTGTGTTTTCAGCTTGCTGACCCTTTCACCGGAACATTTCCAATATTCCAAGCCGTGGCACCAGCTTGATTTTTCCCCACCAGGTTGTCCCCCACTGCTCCTCAGCCAGTATGGGCTCCTCCAGGCTGGCCAGTCTTCTCCCCCTCTTCCTTACCACCATCTCTGTAACAGGCCCCCTACACTCTCATCACCATCTGCCCTGAGTACTGGAATTTAAGTTCTTTGTGGTCCTGCTTGGACCCCACCTTATCTGAGAATCATTCCTGTCTGATATCATTATTTCCTATGAAATTGTGTCCTAATATTCTGTATCTCAGGACCTAAAACTTAAAAAATGTATTCTAAAGTTGTATTCTGTGGGCACTGCCCCCAAATCAGTGCCACGCACAAACTCCGTCAGCAGAGGGAGCTAAATAAAAGAAGATGAGTCCCTGAAATTAAGACCTGAAGCTGGAAAAGTACTTGTGAACAATGATGATTTCACATACTGCCTAGTAGTGGAAAAAAGCTTGAACAATGTTAGAAGTCAGTGACTTGGGGCCATAGAAGTTAAAAACTTCTATGAGGGGATTTGTAAAGGACTTTTGAAAGAGAGGATTCTGTATCATGTTGAAAACATATATAAGTGGGATAACTTGATAAACACCTGTATATTAGGAGAACCAATTTGATGTTTAATTAAAAAAAAAATTTTTTTTTTAAACATTTATTGTTGAGAGACAGAGACAGAGTACGAACAGGAGAGGGGAAGAGAGAGAGGGCAACACAGAATTCAAAGCAGGCTCCAGGCTCTGAGCTGTCAGCACAGAGCCTGACTTGGGGCTCGAACTCATGAACCACAAGATCATGACCCGAGCTGAAGTCAGATGCTTAACAGACTGAGCCATCCAGGCACCCCATAATGTTTTTCCCCCTCCCAGTTTATCCCATCCCTGAAAGTTTTATTTATCAAGGGGGGGTGAAATGAGCTTGATTTTGAGAACCACTGAGTCCTAAATTTGCTAAGAATTAGGGATAATCCATTGTAAGTTTTACAGATGGAATTTTCAAGTAAATTTCTCGTGTTTTGTTCTGATTAAATATATGTATCTTAATTTCAGTTAGCAGACTTGAAGAAAGAGAAGCAGAACTGAAGAAGGAATATAATGCATTACATCAGAGGCACACTGAGGTGGGTTTCTGGGTTCTTATCATGCTAATATTTAAATAAAGCAATTAACCTTAGAAGATTTTTCTTTGTCTTGATTTTTCTTTGAAAGTGGGCTGTTATAATTCTTAGGGATTATGTCCGGAAAACATTAAATTTCATATAGTATTTACCTCATTACCAAATGTTGACTTTTATTGTTTTTTTATCTGAAATTAACTTTTCATGTGAATTAGCATGCCACAGAATAATGCAATTACTAAAACAGTTGCAATAGTCTTTCTTTGGCTGGCATAATGTGTGCATAATAAAAAAATCTAGATGATGCTAATATGACAGAATTAATTGGTTACCAGTTGGGTTATGATGAATTGGTAAATTGGTAAGAGGCTCTGTATTTGTAATCCAGTATAAAGGGCTTATTTGCATTAAGCTCATAACAAATAACATGCACACAAATGGTGTATTAAATCAGAATGACTCTAAAACAGGTTTTTTGCATGAAATTTTATTATTTTAAATTAATAACTTTCGCACATAATCCCTCCAAAGCAAATAAGAAAACGTACCTGAGCATTTTTTAAAACCTTTTTATGATTCTCTGTCAGCCTTTCATATGTTGTCGTCGTCACAGTCTCCTTAACATGAAAATTGTTGTATTTCATGGTCAGTCTGGGGTTTATAAGCCTCAATAAATAGAATTTTCATAGATGCAAGCATTTTTTTTTAATTCAAAATTTTATTCTTTAATTAACGAATTTGGACGGGGAGGGGGGAGTGAGAAGGGGATGGCAAGGGTGGAGATTTTAGGACTCAGCAGCAAAGGCAGAGACCACAAACCAGCCGGTTTTTCTTTGCCACGCTGGAACAGACTTTAAACCAGGCTAGATCATTCCAGCTCTAGCCAGTCTACTCTCTAAATCCTGCTTCCGGGTAGCTGGTTGCAAACTGGCTTCACTTGATCCAAGGACCTAGATGCAGGACCTAGATGCAGGGCTTTCATGGTATCCTCAAGCTTGAGCATCCCTCGTTCCTGTCGCTGGCGGTGCCGCTCAGCCATGGACTGGAATATCCACTTGGCCTTAAGCTTGTACAAGTAAGAGCCATAAACCACGACCTTAGTGAGGCGCGAGGATTCCAGAACCTTTAGCTCAAGCATGACTTTGCTCACTTGCTCAATGTACAGGATTCGAGATCCACTTACGCCAAACGTAGCCTCCAAGAGTCGTGTCTGGGCCTGAAACAACTCTGGGTCTTTCAAGTCATTGGAAACTTTCACCCATGGTGGGGTATCTTTTCGTCTCGGCAATGTCCCCTTCTGCAGCGTCTCAAAACCAGTCACACTCCAACCTTAGCTAGGCCGAAGACAGACTCAATGCTTAGATAGACTCAATGCATAGACAGCATTGTTTGTTATAGATAAAAGTAACTCCTCTTTTTCCCCCTTTCTCATCCAAATCTCTCCCAGGATGCAGATGGTTCTGATTTTCAGCTTCCGTTTTTCTTTCACTAGTTTGTGATCTCTTATCCTGCCTGTGGTGGGAACCTATATTGTTGCTCATAAAAGGAAGATAAAACCCCACTGCACTCAGTTTCACTTGCTTTGGAATAATATGCTTAATACTTTCTTAAGGAGGGGATAGGATTTCTGACCTATGAGGTTTGATTATTACTATCTTCGTTTTTATAGCCACACATGAAGAATTGATATTCAGTGATGAAGGGGAAAAGATTGGCCACAGAGGGCTGGAACCACAGAGCCCTGAGAAGATAGGACTAGCTTAAGCAGCAGCCTTTTCAGTGTGTGAAAAATATCCACATTTTAGTAAAATGACATTTGGTAGGTAGATACTAAGACTACTCAAAACCAATGGATGGGTAAAGTCTTGTTATTGGTTATTTTTACCCCTTATCAGTAGTACTCATCAGAGCTATAATTAGAAATATGTTTGGGGGTACCTGGGTGGCTCAGGCAGTGAAGCAGCTGACTCTTGATTTCATCTCAGGTCATGATCTTGGGGTTCATGGATTTGGACCTGTGTTGGGTTCTGTGCTGACAGCATGGAGCCTGCTTAGGAGTCTCCAGCGCACGTGCGCGCTCTCTCCCTCTCTCTCAAATAAACTTTAAAAAGTAGAAATATGTTTGGGGGAGTATGTTTATTGCCATAGATAATAGATAATAGATAGTGATGAATAATGAACATTTTGTTTTCTTGACGTTCTAACCTGTGTAATATTTGAGGATTGTTAAGTTGAAGTATGCATGAAATGAATACATGCATTAAAAAAAAAAAATTACCGTGAAGTGAAATTTCATATTTTTCTCATTCATTTAATACAAGTGAAGATATGTTCCTACAGAAAAAACAACCTGACATCTTAATTTCTAATGAAAGGATATAATGATTTTTCTATTTCTCTGTTGTTTCAGAGAATGACACTCTAGGAAGAAAAAGCTCTCAGGAAAATCTTAAATACCAAGTTAGAGATGGGCCAGCCCAGTGTCTAAGGCAGGTTTCACATGCAGCACAGAGCTTTCCCCATGGGTCCCCTCCCTCAATCATAACTTCTTTACTCTGCCCTGATCGGTTCCTTTTATTTTGCACCGCCACCAGGAAGGCTTAGGTAATACAAATGTAGCTGCTTTGAAATATGAGACTCTCTGCCATAGACCACATTTTCCTGTGTTTACACATCTTTACTAGAAATGACATTCATTTAGCAATTAAAAATAGCTATCTAGTGCTAATGAACTAGATATCCTGAAGATAATTCTGGAAACCTTCATGGAAAGGAAGTTTGAAGGACTTAACCTTATTTTTTCGCTATCACTTGCAACTAAGGTAACCTTTTTTATGCTCACACAAAAGAATTGTTTAAATTTGAGGCACTTAAAGGGGCACCTGGGTGGCTTAGTCGGTTAAGTGTCCGACTTCGGCTCAGCTCATGATCTCACGGTTCGTGGGTTCGAGCCCAGCGTCGTGTTCTGTGCTGATAGCTAGCTCAGAGCCTGGAGCCTGCTTTGGATTCTGTGTCGCCCCCCTCTCTCTGACCCTCCCCTGCTCATGCTGTCTCTTTCTCTCTCTCTCAAAAATAAATAAAAAAAAAAACATTAAAAATTATTTTTTAAATTTAAGGCACTTTTGGGGTGCCTGGTGGCTCAGTTGGTTAAGAGTCTGACTCTTGATTTTGGCTCAGGTGATGATCTCAGGATTTGTGAGATTGAGCCCCCCATCAGGCTCTGTGCTGTCAGTGGGATACTGCTTGGGATTCTCTTTCTTTCTCTGCCCTTCCTCTGTTCTCTCTCTCTCTTATTCTCTCCCTCCCTCAAAATAAATGAACTTAAGAAAAATAAATGGCGCTTTTATCAAATACTTTGTTTGCTGCTTAAGAGAAATCCATGGCTCATTTTGTAAAGTGAACATCTGCTCTTCTCTAATCAAATCCAGAATTTTGTACCAATTACTGAATTTGCTTAAAAGGAGATATTCCTTAAAGAGGGTAGTGGAGGAAATAAAAAGATTAAGTAATTGTGAGGCACTTGGGCCACATGTATATATACTCATATTATTCATCCAAAACGTGAACTCTGGTGTTACATCAGGGAGTGTTTAAACACATTCTTATTTCATCCTGTGGCCAAATTCAGTCGTCCACTCCACTTTACAGATTGAAGTTTAGAAAGGGAATATGAAGTGATTCGTTCCAAATCCCATGCTAGTATGTGACTGGATTTGAACCTAGGTCTGTCATATCCTGTTGCCTGAACTTCCTTTTTTTTTTTTTTTAAAGTTTATTTATTTTGAGAGAGAGAGAGGCAGCATGAGTAGGTGATGGGCAGAAAGAAAGAGAGAGAGAGAATCCATGCTGTCAGCATGGAACCACTGTGGGGTTCAAACCCATGAAACGGCGAGATCATGACCTGAGCCAAAACCAGAGTCACCTAGGTGCCCCTGTTGACGGAATTTTCTTTTATTTTTTTTTTATTAAAAATTTTCTTAAATGTTTACTTATTTGTGAGAGAGAGACAGAGCGTGAGCAGGGGAGGGGCTGAGAGAGAAGGGGACACAGAATCCAAAGCAGGCTCTAGGCTCCAGGCTGTCAGCACAGAGCCCGATGCGGGGCTCGAACTTAAGAACCACAAGATCATGACCTGAGCCGAAGTCAAAAGCTTAACTGACTAAGCCCCCCAGGCGCCCTACCTGAATTTTCAATAACACTTTTAGTTTACGGAACATACAAGTGTTAAAAACACTAGCAAGTTTGCCATGCCTCTGCCTTATGGCATTGCAACAACGTTAAGAACAGCGGCATTACAGGTGTAGATTTCTGGGCTGCAGATGGAGAGATTCAGGACGAGCACTATTAGAGGGATACATGCCACTTGTCTCCAAAACGTCGCTTGGTAACTGCCTTACACTTCGGTTTTAGCCAAGCTGACAGTCAACCTCTGCAGTGATTTTTCTATGCGGTGGGAATTTAGGATTTTGCAGACAGTGTGCTTGGGATCCTTCTTCATGACTCCCAGTTGTTTGTTGCTGAATCTACTTCTGAATATGTGTGAATTAATGTGCTTACCTGAGAAAATGGAGAATTACAGCTATTGAGATCAGGAGGGATGGGGCTGGTGGACCCAGTAGTAGATTATCTAAAGCATGCCTTCTTTTACTCTCTTACCCCTCTCGTCTGTCTGGCAGCACTGATCCTGCCCTCCCACTCACCCTTTTTATTTTTATTTTTTTTAAACAGAGCTATATTGTGAAGCCCTGTAATTAAAATTAAGATTTTTATGTGCAGTTTACTTTTTCTTTTTTGGATGCATTTACAGAATATAGTGCATATTTTATTTCAGACGTCAGGAAATGCTTTAGGGTGTGGGGTTTTCTTGTAGGCGTGAGGAGAAAGAACAATGAGTTTATCGCCAGCCTAGAGAATTGACTAAAGGGGCAAATAGAACACCAGTTCTATAATGCTTAAATTCTTAAGTCAATTGAGACAGAGGGACCTCAGCTCTGGCCCTGAAGCCAGCTAGCTAATGGCAGTTAGAACACAGTTGATCACTAACTAGGTGGTCAAAATGGATGAGCAAGTTATTGTAACCATAAGGTGGAGTTTGTAAAACTGTAATATTGTTGTGAGGATTAAATGAAACAGTAGCTGTAAATGCACCGAGTTGTGCTTAATAAATGTTAGCTGCCATTTTGTTATCATCCTGTACTTTATAAAAGTGCTAGTTTAGTTGGAACAGTTTCATTATATACCATTTTGGAATGTCAGCCTTTTATATCTGGGATGTATCATTTGAAGGAGGGGTCAATCTTTTGAAGAAGGTTTAGCATTCAATGTTATATGTATAAAAAGAATCCAACATTGTATAAATTTAAAACTTTTTAAGTTTAATCATGTAAGACAAGAGTTAATCCATAGAATGACTATTTGGGCGAGGGGAGTAGAATGGATTCTGTCTTTGCATTTATAATTTTTATATTTCTATATTGAATAAATAGGTTACTATAAAGGCAGTCTAGGGGAGGTTTCTATTTTCTTCATCTGAATGCTTAAGGAAATAGATTCTTTCATCTGAACTAATGAGTTGCATGTGATTACTCTCTGGTATATAAGAATTCAACTTAGGTTTTCTAAAATCTTTTGAAAATTCAAGCTGATATGTATTTGGCCCAATCATCACTTTGCTATATTAGTTTCATTTTTGTATTTTTCCTTAAAGTTCTTCATGATACATAAAACAGTTAATTATTTTTGATGTGCTGACACAGAATCATAAACTGTATTTCTGCAAGTATGTTCCTTAAAGGAGGTTAAAGAGAAAAACCTATGCACTTAAAATAGTAAAGGGGTGCCTGGATGGCTCAGTCAGTTGAACATCTGACTCCTGATTTTGGCTCAGGTCATGCTTGGGATTCTCTCTCTCTCCCCCTCTGCCCATCTCCCCAACTTGTGCTCCTTCTCTAAAAAAACATTAAAAAAAAAAAAAAGGAAAGTTTGTTTAAATTCAAAACTTTAAAAATTGCTTTCAGGAGCACATGAGTAGCTCAGTCAGTTAAGCGCCCTACTCTTGATCTTAGCTCAGGTCTTAATCTCAGGGGTATGAGTCCCAGCTCCGCTTTGGGCTCTAGGCGGAACCTAATGCCTACTTAAAAAAAAAAAAAAATGCTTTATGTGGAAACTAATTTGACAATAAACTATTAGAAAAAAAAAAAAAAAAGAAACCTAACAGGTAAAAAAAAAAAAAATGCTTCTGCATACCACATTCCTGTAATTCTACATTAATTTTTCTTTGTCTGATATAATTCTTGTTTACACTAGTTGTAATTGGAAAGCAGCCTGATTAATTCCTTAATTTTTTTTTTTTTAAATTTAATCCCATGAACCACAAGATCAGGACCTGAGTCAAAATCAAGAGTTGGATGCTCAGGTGACTGAGCCACCAAGGCATCCCTGATTAATTCTTCTATATTGTTTGATTTAATAGGTTACCTGTCTTAATTCATGCATCAGTTCAGCTTTTTGTTTATATGAAGTAAATAATACTTTCAAACTGATTTTACATATTTCTTAATTTTTGTGCATGCATGCCAAGCAAAAACTTCCCAACAAAACATGCTTTTTAAAAATTTTGTAAATTTGGGATTGCCTGGGTGGCTCACTTGGTTGAGCATCCAACTTCACTCGGTTATGATCTTGCTGTTTGTGAGTTCGAGCCCCGTTTTGAGCTCTGTGCCGACAGCTCAGAGTCTGGAGCCTGCTTCAGATTCAGTCTCCTCCGTTCTCTGCCCCTCCCCCGCTTGCTTTCTTTCTGTCTCTCTCTCAAAAATAAACGTTAAACAAATGTAAAAAGAAAATTTGTAAATTTGTTCAAAATCTTGTTTCTTTCAATAGTTAGCCTTTTAATGTGCTATGGTGCATATTTCGTTATATTTGAGATTGAAATACATGTTCATAAACTTACAAAGCTGTTCCATTCTTTCAAGCATTCAAAGAACATTCAGATTTTAAGAATTCAAGGCTAGATAGTCCCCAGAAAGACAGTAATCTTTTCTTGTTTAGTTTTCAAATTTACATGCCTTTAGATTGCTAACATAACTTTTTTATCTTTAAATTCATTTTTTCTTATTCATAGCACATGAGTATCTAGCAAAGGCCTTTTGAGTTTATGATTAAAATTGTTGCATTTTACATGTTTTAATGCCAGATTTAGGATTCTTTTAAAAAAATTTTTGAAAGGCGCCCAGGTGACTCCGTTAAGCATCCGACTTCGGCTCAGGTCATGATCTCACGGTTCACGGATTTGAGCCCTGCGTCCGGCTCTGTGCTGACAGCTAGCTCAGAGCCTGGAGCCTATTTCAGATTCTGTGTCTCCCTCTCTCTCAGACCCTCCCCTGCTCATGCTGTCTCTCGCTCGTGCTCTTGCTCTCGCTCACTCTCACTCTCAGAAATAAAACATTAAAAAAAGTTTTTTAAATAAAAATTTTTTCAAAGTGTATTTATTTCTGAGAGCGAGAGAGCGAGCGCGCGCGTGCTCGAGAGTGCTTGAGCAGAGGAGGGGTAAAGAGAGAAGAGAGAATCCCAAGCAGGCTCTATGCTGGCAGTGTGGAGCTCAGCATGGGGCCCGATCTCAGGAACTGTGAGATCAGGACCTGAACTAAAATCAAGAATCAACTTGATTCTCAGTTGCTGAATCAACTGAGCTACCCAGGTGTCCCAGATGTAGGTTTCTTAAAAGTGAAACTATAGATGACCAAAATTTAAATAGGAATATTGGATTTCTTGGCAGTTTATATACTTGATACTCTTGAAGATTTTACTCCCATATCAGTTGTCGATCCTATGGCTCCTTATCCAAGATTTAAAACAAAATGCTCTGATTTTTCATTTAACTTTGCTATTATTATAGGTGAGTACATCAAGTGACGATTCCAGTAAATTAACAATCAAACAAAGAAAATATTTTAGCATCCTTTCAATGAAATCTATAGACACAAGAAATAAACATCTTGGTATTAAGTGGAATTAAATTACTTAATTAAACTAAATTGAAAGTGATAATTACTCTGAATCCTTTGTAAAATGGAAAAAGATTACCACATAAAGGGTATGGTTTCTTCTCAAGTTTCACGTTAATTTCTTCTTTGTTTCCCATTTTGGTGCATGGATTTCTCAGATGCCCTCTATTATTTTTAATCAGTGGTCTCTTATTACTGCCTCTCCGGTGTCTATATCCTAACCTGTGGTATTTATGTCAAAATTACATCTTTTAATAGCGTCTCATATTGTTTAAAAAAAAAAAAAAAAAGGATTTTGCTATGCTAAGCAACCAACATGTTGGCTACTTCTTTGGATACCGGCATTCCTAAATGTAAGCACTGGTATATTCCTTGCTATTAAAAATTTTTTCATACTTAATATTATCTTTTACATAGAACTGTGGGTAGTCCTGTAAATATGTTTCTACAAAAATGTTTCCCTTGTAAAAACACTTGTTTTTATTCCGGGTACTAGCCTTAAAATTTTGCATGTGTTTTTCTTTCTTCGAAATAGATGATCCATAATTATATGGAACACTTAGAAAGAACAAAACTTCATCAGCTCTCAGGGAGTGATCAACTAGAGTCCACAGCTCATAGTAGAATTAGGTAAGCTTTGTTAAACATTTTGCCTTGAGAAAAATCGAAATGATCTGTTTGTTTCTGTTTCTCTCTGTTCTTTAATCCTGGAACAATAGTCAGGCTGATTCAAAAAGCTCTCTACTGTGTTTGGAATGCTAGAGGAGAGAATAGCATAGAAAAATAGAAACAGTCCTCACCATTGAAAAGGTAAATCGGGAGCTATACCATACAAGCAGTATATCCATATCGAGGTATTTTGAGTGTTTTTGTAATCCTTAATGGAGGGTATACTGGGTTTAAGTTTTTTCTGATTTGTGGGAGTGCTTGAAAGATTTTCATTTCCCCTGTGTAACTGGTTTAAAGTCCTTTCTGTTACCGAGAGTGGAGAGTGTTGGAAAGGGTTAGACTTGTGTTTGATGTAGGGGTGTGAATAAATTATGTAGATCTCCCAAGCGTTGTAGCCAATGAGCTAAGCCAGGACTCTAAGCGGAGAGGAAAATAGTTAATAGGCTGGCTGTCGCTCTAGATTGCTGCATAAATGCTAGGAGCAGCCGCTCTGTGGTTATGAGGAGGGGAGAGCAGGATGACGTCATCGCTTCGGGGCTGCTGCAGGATGGAGTGGAAAGCTGCTGCTGATGGCATTGTTTTTGTGGCAGCCGCTGAATGACAGAGCCTCCCTACAAAGATACCCCTGTGGCCCCCGTGTAGGCCTCGTGGTCCGGGTGTTTCACCATGCCAGCACAGCGCCATGAGTCCTGGATGCATGCTGCTGTTTGTGTTTGGCTTTGTTGGCGGGGCGGTGGTCATTAACTCTGCTATCTTAGTGTCTCTCTCTGTTTTGCTGCTTGTGCACTTTTCTATTTCTACCGGTGTGCCAGCTCTGACGCAGAACCTACCAAGGATACTCAGGTACTCTAGTCCCTCCTAGAAGCCCCTGTTTCGTTGGTTTTTCTCAAATGCTTATAGCTTCACGGGTCTGCTCTGTAACCATGTCTGTTGCAGATTGAAACAATGGAAAATGGCCTGAAGCTAGGATTTCTGTTCTTATTTATAGTAATTTATAGGCCATCACCTAGGGATACGGCTTTGTCTTTGGAAACCGCCGACTTAAGGAAAGGATTTTCATAATTGTACTTGTACAAGTACAAGGTCAGTGTGGTCGCTAAGCAGTGTTCAGAGAGTAGAAGGGGAGCAAGAGTAAAACACTGGGTCCAAGTTTATACAGTCTCTGTGTTTAGCATCCGAGCATTTAGGGGCAAATATGTTTTATGCTTAGACTTACAGTCAGTTAGACACAGGCTCTGGGTATTTATTCTGTTCAGTTATCCTTTGACGGATGGGCGCGTAGGCATCGTTTTTTGCAGTTTTTGATAATAACTCCCAGGAACTGACCATTTAAACATTTTCTAAAATAATATATTTTAAAGTGAAAGGCTTTCAGCCTTTTAGGGCAAGGAATGCAGCTTCCCCCCATTATTTACACATCAAAGTTGTGAAAGCTTTACAAAGCCTATTCACTATTGTTTTGTCAGATGGTGCCCTTTCTTTGTAGACTTGGGTGACAAATGTCTGTGCCTGCCTGTGGGGGTAGTCATTAATCTCCGGGGCTTTGGTGCTGCTCCCTCTCCTTGCCCCTGTGAGAACTGTCTTCCACATTTCAGATATTTAAGGGTTTGGTTGTCTTTTGTTTTCTAACTCATCGCACTAAAAGTATCTGATTTGTTCAGATTTCTGCTTTGTGCGTGGTTTTTATATGAAGGCTCATGGTGTATAGCTTTTATTATTTAAATGTTTCTGTAAAATTCTCAACTCAAAATTGTGGATTTAGGTAAATTAAGATGAACTAAACTAGCAAATTCCCTCAATGTGTTCTTTTTGTTCATAGGTTGGCTCATGTTTAATATTAAGGCCCAGAAATTAAATTTCATCTGTGGTCTAAAATTAGATACGGTCATTTATTTTCTGTCCTCATTTTATAGAAATCAGAAGAGATCTAACTTTTATATGTTTAGTACATAAAAGATTTGTTTTTATGTTATATTTAGGCTTTTAGGAAATTAAGAAGACCTTAATTCAAGAATATGTAGAGTGTTAAAATAAGACTGATAGGAAGGGCCGTCTTGGGTTTGGGTTCTGTCTGAGAAAGCATGCTGTGCTGGGCCCAGCAGCGGGCTTTGGAGCCAGGCTGCCTTGCTAATAAATTCTCCGCCACATGTGAGCTCTAGGGCCTTTGCAGCCTCTGAGGTTCTTACCCCCTTTGGATAGTTTTAAAAATTAAGTGTGAGATCCTGATTTTGTCTTTAATCAGTTGCAAGATATTTAGTAAACCAAACAAGTAGATAATTTGCAGTCACTTCCCTGCACCCCATTTGTAGCAGAGCTATTTTCCAGAATTTTAGCTATTTTATTGATAAAACACCTTATGACTAAATTCAAAATTGTCTTGATGCAAAAATTGCTGATGACCAGATTGAATAAAGATATCCCCAAGTCTTCAAAATTAAAATTAAATTGTCAGGAAAATAGGTAAGTTCCAAGGAAAGTACATGCCCGTTGGAGTGCAACAGGTCTGATTTTTGAGTCCCATTTCTGTGGATTACTAGTGCCTCTTGTCTCTGAGCATCACTTTTTGTAATTTGTTGGGGTTTTTTTAATGTTTTATTTATTTCTGAGACAGAGAGAGAGAGACAGCATCAGCATGAGCAGGGGAGGGTCAGAGAGAGAGGGACATACAGAATCTGAAGCAGGCTCCAGGCTCTGAGCTAGCTGTCAGCACAGAGCCCGATGTGGGGCTCGAACCCATGAACCGTGAGATCATGACCTGAGCCGAAGTCGAATGCTTAACTGACTGAGCCACCTAGGCATCCCCACTTTTTGTAATTGAAAACTGGGAAATAAGTCCTATTTTCTTATGAGGATTAAATGAGATAATGTAAACAGACCATCCTTCCTGGTGCTTGCCACCTCGTGAGTATTGAACAATCTTATAAAAATGTTATTAATGGTTGTTTGTTTTAAATGTCTAGATAACCGAAAAGCTGTTTCAAAACCTAATTGGGAATCTGTACACAGGAAACATTTAAATAAACAACCAAAAAATGGATATATGGAACAAAGGCAGTTTTTAAAAGAATGTAACCAGGGTCCTGATTGCTGAAGATGGCTCTGTTTCTAGAGCATAGCAGCATATGGAAACCCCAGGCGCTTAAACCTGTCACTTGAGATTTTCCCACGTGTATCCCATTCTTTGGTTTCTTCTGTGAGTTTCACTGAGCATTTAATATGTAGAGTATTAAACATGCACAGACACATTCAACTTTCAGTGTTGTGTCTCAAGTAGGATTCTGACTGACCTGTGTAATTACGTGTTCTCCCTCCACTTAACTCTCATGTAACTTCTCAGTAAATAAGGAGACAAGACATGTGTGTAGTAACATTTTTTCCAGAGTTGGAACGTTGTAACCCAGATCATCAGGTCTTGATGGTCTCTGAAGAAAATGTCTCCCCCCCCGCTCCCTTTAGAGCAGTTCCTAAATGATTAATAAAAAGCAGTATAAACAGGTATGAATTCTACTGGTATTTTGGATTGTAGGCTTAGTTAACAGGAGTGGAACAGCAAAACTTGGATCTATAGTGGGCTCCTTCCTCCAGTGGTTTTCTACTTTTACAGTATTTGATATGTGTGAAAATAAAGTGCAATCTGTCATTCATATTGGAAGATAAGTCTAATGCCTGGCCTGTGTTTTGATTTGTTAGCAGTGTGATGGGCTTGCATGAAGTCTGTATTATCTTCCTGGTTGTCTTTGCTTTGTGGGTTAGAGAACTTTCCATTAAACTATCGGACTAAATTCATGCCTTTTTGCTTATGTTACTAAGATATGTTAAAAATATAAGTGAGGGGCGCCTGGGTGGCTCAGTCTGTTAAGCCTCTGACTTTGGCTCAGGTCATGATCTCACAGATAGTTCGAGCTCCACATCGGTTCTGTGCTGACCGCTCAGAGCCTGGAGCCTGCTTCGGATTCTGTCTCCCTCTCTCTTTGCCCCTCCCCCGCTTGTGCTCTGTCTCTCTCAAAAATAAATAAACATTAATGGAAAAAAAATTTCTTAAAAAAACAAAATAAGTCCTCTAAGTAGCGTTTAGACCCTCAGATTTCCAGTTCCCAAAATATAGTCTTCCAAAATTGAGGGATAAACATCAGGTTAATAGCTTTTTATTTTGTCAGGTACGGACATTAAACCAAAATTCACTTTCTAATCATTGTCACCATCATTTGATGAAAAGGGATTTTAAAGTCAAGGAAGCAGAAAAGATGTAGAAAAAGTCCATCATTCTCAGGAAAGACCAAGTTATATGATCTGTGGAAATGTATATGTGTACAATATGGCCTCTGTCATCCAATAAGGATATTATAAATTATCTCTTTTCACTACAGACTTATGAAAACTTTACTGCTGAGCCAGCATTAGGGAATAACTGGTCTAAAGAGAATAGCTGAGTAGTGAATTTAGCTTTTGTCATTTGGCTTTTCTGGAAGCTCATAGACACAGACAGATTTGTTTTAAAATCTAGCCTGTGCTCCCCACTGCATTTGAGTCTCCCCAAATCAAATAGGAAAAGTATTGCGCATGTAAAGGAATGATCAGTAATTAACTAATAGAGAAAAATCCTGCTTTATTTCCTTGTGCACACACCTTTAACAGATTCAGTCTCTCAATCCTTTTCTTTCACTTGGTCTTTAAGAAGGTGTTCTAAGAGTTTTACTAATCCATTCTGATTGTAGTTAGGAATGGAAGCCTATCCTTTGTGTTAAGTGAGGGCATATTTCAAGTGGCTTCAGTTTCTTGGTATAAAAATGAGCTTACAGAATAATTTAGCAAAAACTGAGTATTTTCCCACTTTGATTTATAGCCTGAGTGTTTCTCTTCTAATTTACATTCTGACCAGTAGAGGTAGGAGTTGCAGGGGGCTCCGAACTTTCAGTGTCTCCTCTTTTGCCAGTTTCCACTCTTTTGAGTTAATGACCCAGGACGACCTCTTCCTAGGCTAGTTTCCACCCTGTAAAAAGCCCTTTGATTTGTAATCTGCTATGCATCACCCAAGGATGTGTTTCTAGTTGAAATTCTATTCTTATTAAAATTATAACTCTTGTTCATTGAAATTTCCCACAAAGCGCTGGAAACTCTACAGTCTTTTGTAGAATTTTTTGGCCTCCTTGTTTGGAAGAACCGACAATGGTTTTCTCATAAGTACTGTGATTGAAAGGAATGCATATACTGGTTCTGTAGAGAAATACAGCTTTCCTGCTGTTAAGGATTAAAACTCTCTTGAGTTCTTTTTACCATCACTCAGCAGTCCTGATTTAGATTATACATAGAGTTTCCCCTAGGCAGAAAAGATGTATCCTCAACGAGCTTGGGTAAGCATCTAGGTATGGGTTTGAGGATTTGGGAAGTCCAGAAGCAAAGGTTGCACTCCCTTCCGAAGGAGGAGGTTACTAGTTTCTCGATGGCTAATGGAAGCAGGAGTGAAAATTTAGTGGCTTTTGTTGCTATGAAACCAGACCACAGACTGCTTTCTGGGGAAGGAACTCATCAGTAACTTAGAAGATTTCGTAAACTATTAGCTATTACTTTTCTTAGTTAATTTCTTGGGGGCTAATTTGAATTTCTGAGACTGTCCTTTCTCTTTGGTAAGTCTACTTGTTTAGATAGGCAGACAGTCTTTTTTTTTTCTTTTTTCTTTTTTTTTCCTTTCATGGTTTATTGTCAAGCTGGAAGACAGTCTTTTTTTAAGAGTTATTATTCTAAAACAGTGACAGCCCAGGCTTATTACTTATAGTCATGATAATTAAAATTAAAAATGAATGAATGCTTAATTGTTTCTCCCCTGTTCAATAGAAAAGAACGTCCTATATCATTAGGGATTTTCCCATTACCTGCTGGAGACGGATTGCTTACACCAGATACTCAGAAAGGCGGAGAGACCCCTGGATCAGAGCAGTGGAAATTTCAGGAATTAAGTCAACCACGTTCTCATACCAGCCTGAAGGTAAGCTTCATTCTGATGAAATCTTCAGTTTACATTGGGATGAAGTTTTGGGGTTATGGTGGGGCGGTCCAGAGCTGACAGCGAAGAGAAAATTCTTGAAGACGTCTTTGGTGCAAAAAGGTGATTTTATTAGAGCACGGGGACAGGACCCGTGGGCAGGAAGAGCTGCACTGGGGTTGTGACAAGTAACTGATTATCTACCCTCAGGTTGGGAGGGTTAGGGACAGCGTAAATCACTAAGGAATTTTGGAAGCAAGGTTTCCAGGACCTCGAGGGATTAGCTGTTGCTAGGGAAACACCATGTATTACTGGTTAGTAAAACCTCAGTTATGAGACCCTTCAGATGTCTATCAGGGGCCCACATGCTTGGAGTATGATTTCCAGCATATATCTTGGGGGGGGTTGAGATAAAGGAAGTTTCTGAAGGAATTTTTATATGTTAAAGTAGACTTACAGGTTGGGGGGGGGAGGGCACATCAGGATAATGTTAAGCCAAGATTCTCTTTTGCCCCTAGCAAAGTATCATCATGAAGGCTCCTAGAAGGGGGCATTCTGCCGGTTTCAAGGACTCATCAGTGGGCTGTAGGCAGTGAGGGAATTTAATTTGTCATTTGTCTTAGTTTCCCACATCACCTGGCAAGTGCTCAAATCCTTCTTTGTTCTTGGGCAGCCAGGACTGTCTCACATTCTACCTGGCGGGGGAGGGTCAGTGCCTTTAGCCTGTACTTTGCCCTCAGCTTGCCCTGCGCTCCCTCAACACGTTGTAGAAGCTTTCTAATCCAAATAGAATTGCCAGACAACTACAACATAATAAAATGAAAGTTCCTGCACATTTTAGCTTATAATTTTTTATAATAATTATAAAACTAATGCCTTTGTTTTAAATCGGCATTGAGCTCTTCCCAGAGTTAGTGTTTTACTGTTCTTTTTCAAGTTGTATAGGAAAACAAAGTCAAGCGTTGTGATATCTTGATTAGTGTACTAATGACACTAATAACCAAAATTTCTATTAGATTTAGGCTATTGTGATTTTTATTTGATCAGATAAATTTTAGATGGGGTGACTAGTAGTGTAATGGTTTTTAGAATTGAAATCATGGTTACTTGAAATCCTTGGTCCACTGTTAGAAGCTTTACAATGTAGTTGGGCTTCACTTTTTTTTTTAAACATGTTTTTCCCCTTGAAAACCCTTCATAAAGCAGTATCCAAAGGTGCACTGTGTTTAGCTAAAAAGTCCTGGTGTGGTTAGTTATTATAGACTATATTCTCAACAAGGAACATATCATCAAATAAATTATAATTATAGTAAACTCAAAGAGGGAGGATATACTAATAGTTAAAAAATATATGAAGTTGTATTCTATACCTTACAAAGTGATATATTTATAAAGAATATGGATCTTACATATATAAGTTTTTAAAATATTTATTTATTTTTGAGAGAGAGAGCACGCACAAGCCAGCCGGGAAGGGGCAGAGAGAGGGGGAGACACAGATTCTGAACAGACTCTAGGCTCTGAGCTGTCAGCACAGACCCCAATGCCAGGCTCAAACTCACAAACTGTACCTGAGCTGAAGTCAGACCTTTAGCTGACTGAGCCACCCAGGCATCCCTGGATTATCTATTTTTTAAGTTTGCTTACTTATTTTGAGAGAGAGATGTGGGGAGAAACCCAAGCAGGCTCTGTGCTGTCCGAGTAGAGCCCGATGTGGGGCTCAAACTCACAAATCATGATCTCATGAGATCATGACCTGAACTGAAATTAAGAATCAGACACTTAACCAACTGAGCCACCCAAGCATCCCCTGATAATATTGATTCTAAAAGAACCTTGTTATGCTATAAAATCTATTTTGTGATAAAACAAATTAGACTACCTATAATGAATACAAATAAATTTCTTATATCTTATCTCCTTTTCTTCCCTCCAAAGTACTTATCTGGGTCTAAATGTTTAAAGATAGCTCTTGTACATTTAAAATACTAAGCCATTTACTTATTTATTTTATTTCCCTTCACTAAGAGCATAAAATCCATGTGGTTTATTTACTGCTGTATCTTTAGCATTTAGAAAAGTGCCTAACACATAGTGCCCACTCAGAACATGTTTGTTAAGTGAATTATTTGTTTTAGATGTTAGGAAGACTTTTGGGGATAATATATATGGCCTGTCCAGCTCCAGTAGGTAGAAGTTTTGGGTTTTTTGTGTTTTGTGTGGTTTGTTTTTTGGCTGCTTGTAGAGGCATTTAGAATCATTCCATTGATCTTTGAAATGTGCTCAAAACAGTAAGCAATCAATAAATATTTGATAACTTTTCTCCCACTGAAAAGTATTTTTAACAGTAAGACTGACTTTACCTTTTCCCCTTCTCTTTTCCATATTGCTCAGATTCTTAGAATCTGACCACACAGCTGCTCAGCAGCAGTCCACAGTGACGCCTCTAGGAAACTCTAATTCTCTACTCCTACTGCCACGCTAGCTTTTTTTTTTTTTTTTTTTTTTTTTAGCATGCCTGTAGGTTTAATAGGTCTTCCAGAGCACCCCCCCCTCAATACACCTACTTACTGTGTCCCTTTCCCAAAACAAAATTAAGTAGGAGGGATACTTTTAGTACATCAAAAATATATACCATATGGTAACTATGTTTTAATTATATTCCAAAAAGGAACCTTAAAGAGAAGATAATTATAATTCTCTTATTGTTTAATCCAGCAACATGCTGTGCCAGAACTTTACTGACAAGTTATAAACTGATTAACAGATTATTAATATGGAGTTAAGCCTGGGAGTTTTATTTGTATCCTCCCTAAAGATATGAAGGTAAGTATTTCCCATAGAGTTTCTAGAATAAAATCCTCTCTCTTTCTACTCTGGACACCGAGCCACTAAATGATATAAAGGCTCAACAACTGAGAATTTCCAGGAGTGAAGTAGTATATTTCAGAACAACAAAAGTCTAGTTTCTAAAGTATGTCTAAAAATTAGGGCATACTTTGTTATTTACCTAGGCCCTTGTCCTAAACCAGGCGTCTTTCTCTAACTTTACAAAGGCTGCGAGTTGGGTTTAGGAGTTTAATTATGGACCACCCGTCTTGGTGTCCATGTGTGACAGGAAGTGGGCTAGGCTGCCTCAACTTACATTTCTCCGAGAACTTTGGGGATGACCTGGCTGTATTTAGGGTATGTTAAGCAAAAACTGAAGGTGAGAATTATAATTAATATTAATTTTACTAAACACAGTTTTCTGTGAAGTAAGGTTAAGGTAAAAATGTTCTGAACTACAGGAAGCTTCGTGGCAGAAGAATGGCAGTAGGAGGTTGCCAGTGATTGTAATGTTATAGGCCTTCTTTGTCGCACTGCACATTTCTCACTGTGAGAGAATGGTAGTCAGTAAGGTTATATCTTCAGGGGCGCCTAAGTGGCTCAGTAGGCAGCCGACTTTGGCTCAGGTCATGATCTCACGATTCCTGAGTTGGAGCCCCGCTTCAGGCTCTGCACTGACAGTGTGGAGCCTGCTTGGGATTCTCTCTCTCTCTCTCTCTCTCTCTCTCTCTCTCTCTCTCTCTCCCCCCGCCCTTCCCCACTTGTGTGCACATTTTTCTGTAAATAAATACAGAAACTTAAAAAAAAATAAGGTTATATCGTCAGGTACTGGAAGATCTTTCAGGACCGATGCATCCATAAAAATGTGTAAGTTGCCTTTAAAAAGAAGTCTTTGTACATATTATTCCTTCATGTATCATATTCTTGTAGGGGAGATTAACAAACAAATAAATGAAGTAATAGATTTCAAGTATTGGGATTTACTATCTCTTGTGTGTGTGATATACCGTTTTGAGGAAGCAAGATGTAAGGGGCTAAAAAGTAATTAGTAGGGAAAGGTGGTTACTTTAGGAAGGCCTCTTGAAGGAGGTTATTTGCACCCTGACATGAGGGATTTACAGGTGCATGGAAAAATCTAGAGGAATAGATGTCCAGGGTGATCAAATGGCATCTGTAAAGGCTCTGAGTTGGGGACAAACTGACATGTTTGAGGAATGGTTGTTTGCACCTCTCTTCTCTGAGACTTTTTTGTTAACTACTGTGCCGACTTAACCGTTTTGTAAGGGTTACCCCAGACATCCATCTTTCTAAATAGAAAGGGAAATTCTCATTTCCACCCTACCTTGGAGTAGCATTTGACACATTTGAATAGTTTCTGCTTCTTGAAATGCTTTCCTCCCTTTACTCCAGGACGCCCCTCTCCGTGTGGCTCCTGAGCTTACAGCTCAGCCCTCCTCTCTACATAATCTGGGTAGCCCAGGTTCCCTGTCTGTAAATGCCCTCCACATATCGAGGTTCACAGATTTCAGCCTCCGACCTTGATGCCTTTCCTGAACTCCACACTGCTGCATCCAGTTGCTTTCTTTTACAATTTTCCCACATATATATATATCTTTGTCTTGCTCAGGTTACCCCTAGTAGACATAACCTTTTATGAAGGCCAATCAAAATGCCATGCAGAGGCTTCACCTGACACCCTGTTAATGACCCTTGGATCACGTTTAGAGATCAGTTCAGGGCAGAAAGCAGAGGAGTTTATATTGCATCATTAACGGATATTTCTTACTGGAGATGCTTCAAGTGAAATCGGTAAAAAGCAACTTGTATTAAATCACCCAAGCTGTTCTGCTAAATATGTATTATACAGGGGCACCTGGGTGGCTCAGTTGGTTAAGCATCAGACTCGGTTTCAGCTCAAGTCTTGATCTCACAGTTCATGAGTTGGAGGCCCAGGTCAGGCTCTGTGCTGACAGTGCAGACCTGCTTGGCATTCTCTCTGTCTCCTCTCTCTCTGCCCCTCCCCTCTGCTCGTGTGCACACGCTCTCTCTCTCTCTCTCTCTCTCTCTCTCAAAATAAATACACTTAAGTAAGTAAGTAAGTAAATAAAGTATCTTTAAAGTGCTAAGTCTGGGAATGGGCAAAAAATGTTAAGGTAGGGTTGTTCATCCAGCAG